CCTGTTTAATCATTCCTTTACAGTAGCTGTAGTTTGAAAACTGTCAACAAGTGCCCTGTTGACACTGTCAAAAAGGAGCCCAGGAGACCACTGTACATTACTGGTCCCCTGGAGTAATTGCTCTGTGTTCATGCAAAACTTTCCTGCCACCACAACACATTTCTAAGTCTGCTGCCCAACAGCATCCCTCTCATTGCTACCTTGGGAACTGACAGATTCCCCTGGGACTGATGCCTGAGTCCATTAGCAAGCAAAATACTGTTGGAGATTTGTACTATGAAATGCACTTTGAAAGTCTTGGACAAGCTTTAGGGGCCTAACTGCAAAACTGGGATTTAGATTAAATAAAAACCCTACTCAGCAGCCACCTAATCCTTTACTTAGGTCTGGAGATTCTTGAGATTCTGTGGATACCAAAACTGTCCATGCTTACTCTGTGGTAAGCAGGAAGCAAAGGGAATGTAATCTAAGACTGCAGGTTTACACAACTTCCTTGCTGAGCACTCTCTAGAAACACTTCTCAGGTGATGGGAATATTCTGGCAGTACTGTATCTTCTCATCAGAGCAATCCTGTGTTGTATAGATATCACACAGTCTAATTTCCCTAAAGGGAAGACCCAACTAGAGCTCTGCATGAAAGACAGTACATGCCCAAGAGGCATTGATATGATGCTCAAGGCATCCCATTTAGCATGTCTCAATGTGTTTATGTGCAGCCTCAGGGGCCAGATTGGCTACATGTGCTCTGAACAGATTTAGCACATGGCAAGAGGACAAGGATCCTTCCTACATGGTCAGGAGTGCTTAATATGTAGTGATGTATTTGCCAGTGCTGCCTCCTTTGATGTCATAACTAAAGGGTTACATCAGCCAGGTGCTTGGGTGGTGCCTCTACAAATTCCCCAGCTTCAAAAGGCTGAAGCATCTCCCATCTGCCAAGGGAATTTTGTATTCCTCCCTGCTTCTCTAGGCAGAGAACAATCATCCTTCACTCCTAAACTGGTGGGAAATAAATAAAAAAGCAAAACCCAAACTAAAACCACAACAAAATTATATTAAATCACTATTTATTCACTGATGTCCCTGACTCTATCCCAGAACCCAAAAACTCAGGATTTCTCAAACTCCTGAGAATGGAGACCACTAAACATTTCTCTATATTTTGTTCCTGAAATGGCCTTGGTTTGTAAATCTTCCAGCTTGGCTCTCCAGTAATAATTATGGTCCTTAGCCTCTATCTCCTTTAAGTTAGTTGCTAACACAGTCCAGCTGATTTCTGCAGAAGGAATGAACAAACAAATTTGAACAAGAAAAATGTCAAGCCTCAGAGGACACTAACAAAAGGGCACACTGACAGACAGGTCAGTCTAATCATCTGCACCCCAGTGTTATAAAAGGGAGATTTTTCTCTGCAAGCAACCATTGATCCTGCATAAAGAGGCCTGGAAGGAGATATTGCATGACTGAGAACAGTTTGAGTATAGAAGTCCATCCTTCCAGCATTGTTTACACACCTTATTGCAAACAGTCACTGAAAATAAAAAAATTAGCCCTCAGAATCCTTTATAGTCAGACACGTGTCCGGGCTTTTAGCTGACCTTGGGACACTGCTGGTTGCCACAAGCTGCTATCCTAGCCCCACCTGGGGCCATTCATCACTCCATATACACAAGCCAATGAGTCTGGCACTTAAGAGACTTTCAGGAAGCTCTTAGCTGCTTTTGGGGCATGGTGATATAAGAAGAGTGATCTCAGCAGAATGCTTGGCATATAGAGAATCTCCTCAGAAGGAGAGAAATAATATTATGGCTCCCCCGAAGCAAGAAAGGTCTCACTCCCTCTCCCCCTTTTCACATCTGTCCCATCACATGTTCCAGTCTGGTTGGGTCAGCTCAGAGAGCCACCCCAGCAAGGAGAAGGGTGCAGATGCTTTCTACAGGATGGGTGAGCTGAACTGGCCCCAGGAAGCCACAGGACCTCACAGCTGGGAAAAGAGGATGAGCCTTTTGGCAGTGCTGATCCATTCAAGCAGCTTGCCAGGTGCATGAAACCACAGATCCAAAGCACAGAAACTCAAACCCTTATAAAGTTTGTCCTCTTTCCTTTGGTTTTAGGTGACCAGTGCCCTTTCATGCAAAATGTGAGTCTGCCAAAAGCTGGGCTGGAGTGAGTAGCAGGCAACCAGCCTACCAGGTGAACACCAGGCCTCTCCCAGGGGCAAACAGACAAATCCAGTCCAAACTTTGTTGTTTGCCAGCTGAAACTGTTGGTAAATGAATCCTGATATTTTACAGTAAAAATTAAACAGTCTTGCTCTGCTCCAGAGCTCCCATTTCCAGGCCCCTGGCCAGTTAATACTTCATCTCTTGCTGCAGCGTGACCAGCAGTGGAACAAGCACTAAATGAGTCCTGCTGGTCCTGGTCTGTCACAAATCCCAAGCTGGAGCCTGAGGCACCACGTGAGACACTTCCTGCCTACCACACCTTCTCCTGGTCTGATTTCTGCAGATCCCATGGAGGATCTGTTCAGGAAAATTCAGACTGCAGGCACAAGTTTTGCAGCTTATCTGGCCCACATTTTTGATGTCAGGAAAAGCACTGCAAAAAAAGAACTCGTTATTAAGGAGAAGGGCCCCAGAGATGTTGTTTTATTCCAGTGCAAAGGCTTTTCTTTTAGCAGGCATTTGTCTGTGGTGTTTGCAACCTAAGTATGGCAAGCAGAATCTGAAAACAACATTGGTTAGAAACTGATTCTTGAAACAAGTCATGTCCGTTTCTTGGCAGAGCAGTAACGAATTCTCATAACTGAGTTTTTCCAATCCTGTAATACATTAATTAGTTGGAATATGTTAACATCTCAAGGTTCATATCAAATCACAACTTTCAATTGCACATAATTTCTACCAGTGTTTTGGTCCACAAATTATTTTGAAATACACTAGAGATAAAATAAAACACTTTAACTCTTAAAAATTTTTAATAAACCCATAGGAAGAAAAAAAATATTGTTCAAGAAGAAATCCAGTAATTTAAAATAAATAACTTTTGCCCCAGATTTTTACATTTGATTTATTGCTTTAAAGAGAAAATCCTACACCTGGTAGGTAACCTCTATTACCTCCTGCAGCCCTCCTGAGCCATGAAAACAGATTTCAGAAAGATGCCCAAGGCCATTAACTTAAAAAAAAGCAACAATACCAAATCCTTTCACCCATTTGTTTCCCAGGTCACAGAATGAAAACCTGTAGGCCTCTTATTTCCATCTTTAGCACATACTCTCACTTGAGACTTAGAAAGCAGCTTAAATTTGACTTGCAAAAGAAAGACAGGCATGTCCTTACTCCCTGGAGAAAGCATGTAAAAGTCATGTGCTTTTTTTATTTCAATCTTTAGAAACTTGAACTCAAGATGCTAGGCAGGAAAGGAAGGCCAAGCCAAGCAGGTGGTACCATAAGGTGCAGACACAGAGTCTTGTCCTGTGTCAGCTGGAAAAGCCCCATATTGAAAAGCAGCTTCACAAGTCCCCAGATGCCATAGTTCCTGGGACATTGCTGCACACGAAATCCTGCAGCTCTGTGTGTGCTTTGCAGCATTTGGAATGAAACTGCCTTATGGATCTTCAGCTTAAAATTAAATAAACAATTACTTGGGAAAAAAAAATAGACCTGAAACAAAGTACACACAGTCTATGGCCACTACCCATTACTGCCCCTACCCATAACTGCAGCTTAATTCAATCCTATAACAAGACATGAACATTTTTCAAGAGCACTTTCATTTGTTTATGCAGAGGATGTGACCAAAACCCCTGTGCTGGCTGAGGTGGATCAATGGTACCACACAGGGATAAGTGCTCCCATGAGGAATTCCTTGAAGAAGCTTTTTTGATGGGATACTGGGACAGAGAGACACCAAGATGTTCCAAATCTGAGCACAAAGCCTGTACTGTCATTGTTCCCATCACTGCTGGCTCTTCAAATCAGTGTGGAGACACAACCATTGAATGAAGAGAAAATTGTACAATTATGTTGACTCTTTGTGGTCCTGTTTTTTTACAGCCTTTCCTCATGCAGAATTACCAGTGGTAACAGGAGTTGCCCTACTTTTTTAGAGGTATTTTTCCAAGACATACCAAGAGAGGGACCCTGGCTACCCCACTTCCTCTGAAGAACCATGCATTTTCTTCACTAAAACCTTCTTGTGCTGAAAACAAAAGCTAAAACTCAGGCCAGACTATGCTAAAAGATCACAGAGCCCAGCCCAGTGCAGCCCAGTGCACAGGACTCCTCTGGGAGGATGTAAAATGTCAAGTACAGTGCCCTAATCCTGCCTGGGCTGGGCACCTCAAAGGCGTCCCTGTGCCCACGTGCCTGTGTTCATGGCAAACACTGTCTTCCCACTGCTCACACAAGTACTGATTGCCTTGGAGGGTAAGAGAATTTATCTGATGGTAGGAGATAATCAGGATTGTTCTACACCCAATACAAAATTATTTTTGTTTTTTAGTAGACACAATTCTGTTTGTGTCTACTGCATAGATACTTACAGTTTTGACTCCTGAACAGGAAGAAAAGGGTTTAAAAGGGATTATATATATAGCAGAATACTTTGAAATCGCTTACAAAAATTCTAATTTCTCACATTTGTCTTTAAACATTTACACAGATCTGAGGAGTTACAAAGGGGAATTTTTATAATCCTGTTCTGTGCTCATTGCATTTAAAAGCAATTAAAACTCTAAAAATGTCCTCAAGAGGCATTGATACTAGGAGACTATTCCATTTCATTAATGGTGATTTGGTTTTTGCTAAGGCTTCCTTTATCTTTAGGACACATTTGGTACAATCATGGGATAAATTAATTAGGATTAAATAATACTATGTCTCATCAACATACAGGACTTCAATGTACACTTGAATATGTTCAATAAAAAGGTGCTACTGATCCTTGTTCCAGTGGTGTTCCTCCTGTTAATTGGCATGTAAAGTGCTTTCTTCTTTCAGCTTTGACTTTTCACCAAGTCATCTTCCTTATTCAGTGTGCCATAGCATGAACAATGAGAATCTGGTTGTATTTTGCCTGTCAGATTTTCTCCTAAGGAAATGTGGTGAGAGAAGGAAAAACAACAACTTTGTGAAGAATTTCAATAAAACAAATTCCCCACCAATCCATCATTTAAACATTCTTTGCTCCACTAATCATTGTTTTCATTTGACTGGTTGTAACAATAGCTTGGAAAAATCCTGAAAAATTCTTTGAAAAATCTGTTGGGAACAGGAATAGAAATCAAGTTAACAGTATATTTATTAAATATGACTAGAGCATATTTGTGACTCAATTCTCCTAGGTCATCCCATTATCTGAAACCTCATTTAAACAGAGACAGAAAAAAAGCCCTACTTACCAGGAATATGTCCACAGTCAATAAAAGGGATTTGTAAATGCTCCTCTTTTTTATTTCTTGCAATTATAATCACACCAAGGAAAGACAGGAGACACCTGCAAAACAACAGTGGCATAGTATCATTAGAAACAGTTCACTGTATCTGAGATGAGAATTTCTTTCCATGTTTCTTTTTCAAGGACTTCCAAACCCAAGTTGCTGAGTTTATAAAGAAACACTTCTTCCTGCCAGCTCTGTAAATTTATTTTGGGCTTCTTTCAGTCTAGTTTTGCCTCCTGAAGCTTTATTATCAGTTCCAAAGACTCCACAGCCAAAATTACACTTCCAGCAATATATACCTAATCAGATGCCTGTGGGTGTGAGACCTCAACGTTTGAATCCCTGAGCAAATCTTCCCAGATCATCCAAGTTAGCGTTCTAGCATGTGCAGTTTCATTAACAACTCAGTCTGGCTGCGCACAGTCAACATCTCTGTTGCTTTTCTTGTTTGATTGCGTGTCTCGGGGGCAGGCTGTAAGCCAGGAGCAGTGAAAAACTGCTATGGCTGGACACATCTTCTCTCTGCTGTGTGTTGGACACACAACCCCTAACTCCTTGCTGCCAAATACATGGTTGCTCTTTTCCATTTTTTGTGTCCTTTCCAGCAGTCAGACAAGATAGTGGCTGTGTGCACCTACTCCAGCCCAACTGCAGAAGATGAAGATGTTTGTAGCTATCAGCCCCATTTATTTGACAGCACTGTGTGCAAGACACCTCCAGCAGTTCCAGGAGATCTTTTAAACATTTTGTGCCCATTATTATAATGGTCACCTCTCCCAAAAGTTGTTGTGGTGCTGATACCCAGGTTTCTGCTCTCACAACACCTAGGCCATTCTTCAAAAATACATTTAGCATGCTCTGAATTTTTCTGCAGGCACACTGTGTCTTTCTTGATATAGGCAGATGGGGGAGAGTTATTACAGTACTGCCTTGTAGGCAAGCAGCTCATATAATTGCCCATGCCTAGGGGCAGGAAAAAACAGCCAGACACACCAGGGGAAGGCAACATGGGAGGAGATGTCTCACAGCTGTAAAAGCACCCCCTGTAATTTGATATTTGGTGGAGAGCAGTGACTTCTCCTTCCTGCTGAAGGAACAGATGATGCTGGTTTTTCATTCCATCATGAGATTAGTAGTTCACAAGTGTCTCACATTTTTACATATTTGGATTCAAAGCCAGGCCTCCAAACTCCCAAAGCACAGACATCAATCTTTCCTTTAATGTTTTTTTTTTATCCTACTATAATGGCTATTCCATAATACTTTAATAACAAGGCGGTTTCTGCTTACTGAGAAAAGAAGAGATTGCAGAAGGCAAAGCTGTTTCAGTACAAACCTTAGTGCAGATTTTAGGCTGATACACTCACCCGAACAGAAACATGAACACGCTCAGTAAAGCTGCACTTTGGAATTCCCGATAAAATATGACCCCTGGAATGTGACAGAAACAAGAATTGCAGATCTTGACTGGCTTCCAAGTGATATGAATTACAGCTGGGAGGGTCAGGAGAAGTGTCACGCTTAAACGGAGCAAAAAAAATCCCAAATAAGGTACTAATACACATTGTGATGTGCTCACTTTGTGTCCTATATTCCATAAGCTAGGTTTTCTCAAGATACTGCATAGGACTGGAGAAGATTTAGTCAATCAGGCTGGAACACATGCTGGGTTAGTAATTGCACAGATGCATGTATCTTTTGCATTGTCAGCAACAATTTCTGTGCAGGTCAAACTCGAGGTCTTACTCACAAGCAGTGACATACCAATACAGCTGAGAGGTTCTTCATGGACTTCGTTAAGCTACTCCAGCAGAGCATGTGGACATCTTAACTCCAATTGGGAACAGATTTTCAATAACTAACTGTGTCCCTGAGGTTTACTCCAAGTGAAGGGCTCCAGCAGCCAAGTTTGCCAAATCTTTCTGGCTGAAGGGATCGCTAGCTCTTTCTGCTCGCCCCGCTTCCAGGAATTAGTACCTCTGTAGTGGAGGTGACAGAACCAGATGTGTATCTGGATCTCAGCTGCCCCTATTAACAGCCAAGTATATTAGCTTAAAACCACTGATGAGCAGAGCTTTGCTTAGAAATGCCAGTGGGACCCAGTGCAGCTGCAGTGTGACTGTGTCTTCAAAGGCTGTAACTAGGGATGGGGGAATCCTGACAGCGGGTACCTTCTACAAGCACCCCAGCAAGATTCAGCAGAGGTTGCTTTTCTAAGCCCTACACTGGTTTAACTAACCTGGTGCAAATGCATGTGTATCCACTCTCAAAGCTATTAAGCCATTCCTGAATAGGTACTTGATCTTATAAGGAGGCACCTGGCCAAATTCCCCATATGGTCACAGGAACACAACCCCCTTTTGGCACAAGTTTCTTCTCGGTCACAAAGTGTAGGTCTCTTCTAACACAGGTGTTGAGGCAATCTGTGCGTGAAGCTAACTCCCCTTCTCATTAATGGCAGCTCTGCATGAGAAACTCCTGCACAGCAATGACAGGAAAGCCCCCAGCGTGTGTTAAAATGAGTCATAAATGTTCTAACAACATGATCATTTTGGCTCATTGCTGATACAGCATCTTAGTCGTCCTCCCAGCTCATGTTCTTGCACTGCACACCATTTCCAAGATTTGCAGTCCCTCTTTAACAATGCTGAGTTCAAAGTTCTCACCCAGAATAAAATGTTAAATGCTTAAAAAGTTTTTGTAGTCATTTTATTTCCTTCACTTAACCCAGAATTCCACCTTCTGAAATGGAATATACGCTAACTACTATGAAGCACAGCTGGTTGTCATTTGAGTAGTTTGCCAGGCTGTTAAAATTACTCTACCAGTTCGTATAGGGAGAGACTGGTGTGCACATGGTAAATGCATTTACTGGATGTCAGTATGAGGCTAGGATAAATGCAGGTACTTCTAGTAAGCCAGCAAGGTACAGTGAATCACACATAATCTATTTTGGAAAGGTTAGAATTTGATTATTTTTATAGAATTATAGAATGATTTGGGTTGGGATGAACCTTAAAGATGATCTAGCTCTAACACTCTAAACACCTATGACTTAGGAAAAAATTATTTCTGTGAAGACAAATATGACGGGTTTGGGGTTCTATTCACAGGGTTCCTGTTCTTGAAAACCTGACGTTTAAAAAATCTTTCTGTAGAGGAAGAAGGTCAGAAACAAACCTGAAATGATGGCACTGGTGGTGAAGAACACAAAATTAATGGGGACAACTGCTGTTGCTTCATACAGATGCATTGCTTGATTCAAGAACCTGAAAGATAAGCATTATTGTATCTCATGCCTACAGGAGATCCCTTGCACTTTAAGTCAGGTTAGGCCACTTCTTGTCAGTTTAACAATAAGTGTGACCATTTCTTACCACAATAGCAAGTAGCCCTGGACAGCATACAGATACTGAATTTACTTTCTGGTTTTGACTCTGCAGAGTCAAAATGAATAGGTGAAAGCAAAAAGGTTGGCATGGATTCTTCTGGCCACAGGCTTTCAATGGACATATTTTTGAAGCATTGCTGGAAAAATTTTTTCTGCCACAGATAAGGGAGGAATGCTGGGGTATTATTGCTTATGATCTGCATTGGTTCTTGGAAGCAGTGCTGCCTGCAAGCAGCCAGGGACAAGTTGCTCTACTTCAAACAGGTTGTGTAAGGGTACATTGGCATCACGGACATGAACATGTGAGCTCTGGTAGGAACTGTTTCACTTTGCTGAAGTCCACATTGCTGCTATTTCTCACTCCAGCTTGACAGAAACACCTATTTGTATGTTTATCCATGCAATCACACCCAGAAACACTCTGTCCTGCAGGGAAAGTCCAGGAAGGTGGCTTCAAGCTCCTTGGGTTGGAAACTCTCAGCCCTGCTCTTCAGAAAAGCAACATGACCTCTCACCAGAACCATGAGCAAGAGTGTGCAGGACCACAGGAGCATGCATTGCACAGAGAGCTGCAGGACTGAGACACTGGCCAGGGAGCAGCCTGCACAGTCTGCAAAAAGGCAAAGTCATTAACCCACTTGTACAGAGACCACAGCTATCACCATTCACCCATAGAGTGATGAATCATGAGCTGACATCATGGATGCACCTGTAGATATTCTGCTATGTGAATGGTCATTTCAGAGAGAAAAATCAGGAGTCTGCAGACTATATTCAAGCCTGTAAAAAGAACCACACTTGAACATTTCTCTGGTGCAATATATGCGCACAGTAAAAATCCAAGCTTGGATCTGTTTTAGCCATTAAAATAATTGCGTGGTTATTTTAGCAACTGTTGAACAGTCTCCATGGTGCTTTAAAAATAAAGAAATCCTACATATCCACAGGATAGTCAGGATTTTGAAGTCATTGAAAACACCTCATTATTTTCTCCCATTTGCAACAAACTTGGTCACAGGGACTAAATCAGTGATAGCAAGGCCCGGTGCTGGATCCAGGAGATTGTTGGAGCACAGGCTGTTCTCAGCTAATGAATGACAGTCATATAAAATAAGAGAGCAAACAAATAAAATGAAAAATTTAGACTGACAGCACTGTCCCTGTTAGAAAATCCAAAAGAGTAGAGAGAAAGGGATGCTGAGCCCAGGGAATGAAATGGGCACGTTTCACTTCTGCTTTAATTTTGGCCAGCAAAAGAAAGAAAGAAAAAAAAAAAGAAAAAAGATTGAGAGGTTAATTCAGCAGCTTCTTATTTACCAAGCTCTTATTTCCTATTGTAAATGCCCTGAGCTGTTCTCCCAGAGAAGACAAGCTGGATGTAAATCACTTTATAATCTGTTACCAGGGAGTTCCTGAGTCAGCCATGGAGAGTCAGTGCATAATAATGCATGGACTTTCTGATTCCACATGGGAATGGTATGTTCTGCCATGAAAAAGCTGGGCTGGCTTTTCTACTGGAAAATAATCATGCAAGGAACTACTCAGGCTCACACTGGAGCAGTCTAGATGAGATTACTGAAGGCTGCTATCAGCACCAGAAGCAGAGGGACAGGCAGAAAGGGAACAGCCTCTGTTCAGCTGCAAGACATATTTTACCATGCTGCCACCCCCAGCAATCTGCACAGGCAGCATAAACCAATCACTTCACAGAGCAGGGGCCTGCAGGGGGAACTTGAAAGGTACAGTCAGGCAGGATAGCAAAGTACAACATGCAGATTTAACAGAGGCAGGGAGAAAGTTGGGGTACACTCCCTTCTCCAGTCTGACTAGGGCCATAAAGCTGGGGAACAGACATGGATAATGAGGATAATCACGTCATTTGATTATTCAGCAATAAAGATTTCTAAAAGGAACCCCCAAACGACTACATAAGCATAAATTTCACTTAGTGTGTTAAGACCTGTGCCAAAACTAGACAAGTAAATTTGGGAAGACCTTGTTGAAGGTGATAATGAGAGGAGGTGGTGTCCATAACAATCAATTACAAACTAAGAAATAAAGTTTAAATAAACAATTCAACCAGCTGGAGGCAATTTTTGCATCTGTCAGGGTTCTGCCAAAATTTGTTGCCTTAATTTGCAACTTGTATCTGGAATCATTATCAGTACCAAATAAAACTGTCATATAAAACATGTATGAAGGTTAGTAGGTAAATAGAATCTCACTTACTTGATTTGGAAAGCACAAGAAGTTGCCATTAAAACACTCATGATATAGAAAATGGAGGAGGTTAGCTGCATTTTCCCCTTCACAGAAAGTGCTATCATGCTGGACACAGCCTTAACAGCAATGACAGTCAGGGATGCTGGAAGGGAAGGGAAGAGATTAGCAGGGCAGGACTCAGATTAGTACTTCAGTGCATCACTGAGGGAGGACAAGGATCCAGGTCAGAACCACAGGACTGATCACTTAAAATAAGACTGAAGGACTTGGGCACCTAAAACAAGTGTATGATTTGATAAATGCTTGCTAAGCTACTGGCTAAGCTCAGTGGCCTTAGATCTAAGTACACTTTGTGTTTTGCCTTTAAGTCTTTTTAGCTCACTGAACTCCCAGTTGAAGGTGGTACAACAGCCTCCACATCTTCCACACATACTTTATTTAGCTCCACATAGTTTATGTAGCTAATTTGGAGCCCATATTACAGTATTCAGGAGACATCTGAGAGGTCTGGCTATCTGTTCAAAGCAGTTAGGATGCCTCTTTATAGCAGCCTGCATGTGTCACTGGTAGCCTCAAATAACTCATCATCCTCAGGATTTCTCCTCTGAAACAGGAGCTGGACAAAGTTGACTTCTGGGAACACATCCCAAAGCACCTAACTCTCCCCATGCATTATATATATGAAGAGCAGACAAACAACACAGGGGTCTGCACTCAAGAGCCAGGCTCTTGAGACCATTTACTGGATTTATCCCACAGAAAGAGTATTTCAGCAGTGTATTGTCAATCCATTTAATCACTATCATTGTATCACCACAAACAAATTTCAGACAGCAAGCAATGGTTTTTATACATGTCACCAGTTCAGAGAGGTTTTGCAAGAGAAATCTTTCAGAAAAGGGGCTGAGAGTTTAGCTAAGAGTTACTTTAGATTTCCTTTTAGAGCTCTTGGTTTGTGGAAGCTAACCCAAGAAGTCTGAGATTCCTGCAAATAAAATGTAACAAATTCAAAAAACCCTGAAAAATTCAAGAGTCAGCCTGCAGAGATGACCTTTGAAGAAAGGTAATTAATTGTCAGGAGCAGCATCCCCCAGCTGAGATCCAGTTCCACCCTGGTGCAGAGCTGAGGAGTGTTGGATTTCAGTGGTCTGATTCATCCTCCTGTAACATTCAGATTGGCAAGAAGACCTGTGCTGTGCAAAAGGTTCAGGCCAAAGGTTGGGAGAAAAGGAGGGGGAAGAAGAATGAATGCAGGTTTGAGGGTTTGCTTGCAAGCATTTTTCTTATAGAAAGTCCAAAAGTTCAGAGGGAGTTTAAGAGTTGCATACATCCTGTGATGATCCTGTTCACCACCATGAAATTCACTGTTCTCATGACAACCTTTCCCCCCAGCACTTCACTTCTCTCTCTGTAATGGAAACAGGTGAAGTGCTTCAACAAACACAGCTGTAAAACTGAGCAGAGGTCAAACACTGGCCTGCAGTAGTGCAAATGCTGTGATACAAAGTCAAGAAATACACTCAAGCCCCAACAAGACATCAACATAAAACTGAGATTTGAACTCTAACATGGGGAAGTTATTATTTTAAAAGAACATTTACAGGAAAAAAATTAGTATTTTGAATTGTCATGCTAAGGGTAAAGATTGCTAATTTTTTTTTTCTGATGAAAGACCAGTTTCCACACCTTAAAATATTAACAAAACAGAAATGAAAGCACCAGGAGGTTTGGTTGGTTGGTTGGTTTCTATTCTTTGAGAAGTGAAATTATATTTTTCATTAAAGTAACTCCAAAACAAGTTTCAAACAAACAGGAGTTGTTTTCTCTGTCAGAATGACCTCCCCTCAAAGCTAGTGTGACAAATGATGTCACTTTCCAGCTGAAATCCCACTATAATCTGAAATGTTTTCCCCAAACTTATGATAACTGAGTGTATACATGAGGTAAAATGATTCTCACCAAATGAATTTGCAGAATTGTACTAAGCAAAACTTCATCAGATTTTGTGATCACCTCTGTATTTTCTTGATGGTGAAAATAGCTTGCATATGCAGTGAAACACAAGGCTGCCCCCTCTGTAAAGAAACCTTTCCACATTTAATTTACATCATGGAGTATGAACACTGCACCAGGACTGTATCACCTTCCATGAGCACTCACCCCCTCAGCAGGCAGGACCTGCAAGGGCAGTGCCTGTGTCACAGCTGGCAGCAAAGTAATGGACAATTTTTCAGTCTCTCCATCACTTCACTCAGCAGAAAGGTCAGAGACCAACCAGAGTGGTCCAAGTGTAGATTTGTGGGGACTGCCAGGCTCCAGGACAGCTGCAGGAACCAGAGTCAGATGCAGTTCTGAGTCTCATGCTCAAGGGAAATGTCAGTATTTCAGAAGGTCCCGTGAGCCAGGATTTGCTTGTTTGTGTCTTTTTTAACAGAGCAGAAACAATGACACATTTTCCCTCAGGTTGCATAAGCTCACAAAAACCTCAGCACCCCCAGCTGAAAATGTATTTTTGCTTGGTTGCAGGCAGAGCAGCAGACTCTGCAGTCAGTGCCTGCCAGGGCACAGGTTTGCAGCCCTGCTGCCGCTCTGCGTGTCCCTCGTGTCCCTTTGCCACCAGGGCTGGCAGGACACAGGGCAGAGGCAGCAGGGCTGGCCAGACCCACTGCCCAGCTCCCCCAGGGTGTGCTCGGGGCAGCATCATGGTGGGCCAGCCCACAACTGCAGCAGTGATGTGGAGGAACACATCTGGAAATCTTCAGGCTTCCAGTTATGCAGGAGGAGGAGCTGGACCCAGTCCAGGACTGGCTGGACCTTTGCTCAGGAGTGCACAGTGCTCCACACTCCTCACAGCCATGCTGGGAGCTGCAGAGCAGCTCAGGAGAGCTTTGCCAAAGATCCAAGGCTCTGTGCTAGGAGCTGGTGGATAGCTACACTCATCTCTGCTAGGAGCTGGGGATAGCCACACTCATCTGTGCTAGGAGCTGGTGGATAGCTACACTCATCTCTGCTAGGAGCTGGGGATAGCCACACTCAGCTGTGCTAGGAGCTGGGGATAGCCACTCTCATCTGTGCCTGGAGCTGGGGATAGCCACACTCATCTGTGCCTGGAGCTGGGGATAGCCACTCTCAGCTGTGCCTGGAGCTGGGGATAGCCACACTCAGCTGTGCCAGGAGCTGGGGATAGCCACACTCATCTGTGCTGGGAGCTGGGGATAGCCACACTCATCTGTGCTAAGAGCTGGGGATAGCCACTCTCAGCTGTGCCTGGAGCTGGGGATAGCCACTCTCAGCTGTGCCTGGAGCTGGGGATAGCCACTCTCAGCTGTGCCTGGAGCTGGGGATAGCCACACTCAGCTGTGCTAAGAGCTGGTGGATAGCCACTCTCATCTGTGCTAGGAGCTGGGGATAGCCACACTCGTCTCTGCTAGGAGCTGGGGATAGCCACACCCAGCTGTGCTAGGAGCTGGGGATAGCCACACTCAGCTGTGCCTGGAGCTGGGGATAGCCACACTCATCTGTGCTAGGAGCTGGGGATAGCCACACTCACACTTCCCTCCTCCAAACCAACAGCAGTTAGACCTAAGCCTCTGGGGGCTCTTCCATCTCTGCCTCATGCAGGGAGCAAGGAAATCCTGCAATGCTTCTGCAGAGCTACAGATCCTAATACTCCTAGGGCCTGGAAACCGACATAGGAAGACTGTCCCCAAAAAGTTGTTCTGGAAGTCTGAGTTTTTAGCTGAGTAAGAAACCACTCAGGGTTTTTACCCTGAAGGAAGGGAGTTAATAAATCTGTGAGGGTTTTTACATTCAGTTAAATCCAAATTTTGTACCTGGCAAGCTTTAGTGAAATTCTATTTTATCAAAAACCCTCATGGTCATCTCCATTAGAAATGCAAGTCTTTGCAGACTGCAAGTCTTTGCACCCACTGAAATCAGAGAAAAAATAATTTGACTTCAATGGCACCTTCACTTCAACCAAAGACTTGTGTCCCATGAGGGTTTCATGAAGAAATGACAAGACAAGGACAGGAGAATTTGTCACATGGAGAGGTGAAAATCCTAGATATAACCCTACAAGCATAGGAGATTTAGAGATGAACTCCTGACATGTCTCAAAATGGATTCAAGTTTAACTTTATCGAAAGATGCCAATAAAATTATCTCCTCTATCTTCCCTGGTTATTGATTGTGGTGACAATGATAGAAAACAAACTTCAGTAGTCCACTGGGTTCTTGTTCTTCTTCAGGAAAGGTTGTAAAATATGAAATGTTGCATATGCAAATAGTCATAGATAATTAGAAGTTGTAGTACAGTCACAGCATATCACTGCACTTGTTTACAGAGCACTTAGAAGGTCTTCAGCTGCTCTGTTTTAGAGAACTGATTTTCACAGCCTGCTCTCCAATGCAAAGTTTTGAGTAGTTCACTTTCCCAGGATATAAAAAACCTAAAGTTTTATTTAAAACAAGTTTCAGAATATCATTACACATAGCATATTAATATGAGGGTATCTGTGAAAAGAAATAGTCCCAGCAATAAGCGTAGAAACTATGTTTAAAAATCAGCTTTTCTCTTCAGAAAGAGACCACAGTAAAAATCATGTGAAATTATTTCAATGACTCTTCTTCAAGCACACTGCTTTGAATCTTAAGTGTCTGGAGAGATGGAGTGACAAGGAATTATCAAGTAACAGACAGGAACATTAAAGTGAATAATATGTTCTTACCCAGTAGAGCTACCATCATTAACAAAACCATGATGTGTTTCACAGCCTTTCTTTTGTAAAAATAGAGGAGAATGCAGAATATTAGAATTTCTAAAATCTGAAAATAAAAGAAAAGAAAGTTAGAGCTTTGAAACTATGTAACGAATGCTTCATTCAAAGTCTTTGAGATGTCACACTCATTTTTGCTGCTCTGTATGTTCAAAGCAAAGAATGGCTTTATAAAATATCTTCTGCTAAAAAACCCGATTGACAGTTCCCTGAGCTATCAAACAACTGTTGTCATTTATCTTTCCTGTTATAGCAAAAGTTAAACTTTGAGCATTTTTTATATCTTCAGTTTTTTGTTACCTCAGTCCAACTCCCTGGTAGTTGCAGGTAGTGGCAGGTAGTGCCAAGCAGCAGCTTTGACTGAACCAGGTCATCATAGCTGGCTCTGTCCATCACCCTTCTCTTGGTCCTCATCATTTCATCATCTCTTCTCTTGCTAAAGCTACAATAAAGCTCCACTGTCATCTCCTCCTGCTTAAAAGCAAACCAACCCACCAAGAAGACACATCTGAAAGGAAACAGCCAAGCAAAATGATCAAAAGGCCACTGGAGTCCCTGATGACAGCTCTGGAAGGGGTGCACAGGTCTGTGTGCATGGCCACCCCTACCTCCTGGGGAACCCCAAGAGCAGCCATGGTGTAGGGCCAGAGATGGCAGTCCTGTGCCCAAACCCAGGGAGATAAATGATGTTTGCTTTTCAGGGCTGCTGTTTAAGTTTACTCAGCTCGGTCAAGTCTCACATGCTAAGCTGGAAATCCAAACAATTAGTTCTCAGTGCTGCCCAGCAGCCTAACTATTCTTCTGTGGTTCTCTGCCACTTGGTGACCGACCTACAGGTCATCTTTAGTCAGAAGGCAAGGGAGAGTCTGTGACAATTAAGTTACACTGCAAGCAGAGTCCATGGCTCCCAACAGGGGCTCACACAGCTGGGGTGCCCCAGCTGCTGATTAAAATTGTTTTCTGAGAACTACCCAAAACAGACCTTAGGTTCATCCCTGATAGTGTGATGTGGTAGTGATAAATATGAAGTCCAGGAATGGGAAGGACATAGATTATATCAGCTTCACATACTCTGTTTAGAGGAAATGAAGGAACTTTACCTGCTTACAATCATCTTTGTTATTGCAACTAATCTCTACTGAGGTCTCCTCAAGCCCACATTTCATCAACATTTTTTAATAAATATGTTTTCCATGTTTCTAAGCTCTACCAGAAGGCACCAAAACAAAATACCACGTTGGCTGCCTCAAATGCTTTTCTGGCATATAGAGGATGGTCTTCTAGGCACTTCAAAAGAAAAGCAGAAGTGTTTTGAACCTGATTTTGCAGAGATTAAATATTAACAACCCAATTCTTACTATGCTTCTGTTTAGGGAAACCTAAGAGCTTCATCTATGATTTATGTCTTCTGTAGAGATTCCAAGTGCACATAAGCAAAAGAGAAAAAAACAAGCTAGGGTAGTCATTCTTGCTCAGACATAATTATGCTACTGCAGAGTCTCAGAAGGTGACTCAAAGTTGTCTTGTGGGAATTAGAGGCTACTCCTGCAGAATATACCAGTGGAGTGCCACATGGGGATGGTTTACCACCCACAGAGAGCATTTGGTACCATTGGAGCTTTGTATTTCTCAGCAGACCACACTTTGGGGCTACTTTTAGAAAGATCATTGGACTGTCTTATACTTCTGTACTGTCTCCTCATTGTATATTTAGACTGGAAATTCTGCAGCTTCTGCTGCACTTTTTTATATCTCAACAGTCAACCTGTGCTAGGCATTTTACAACCAATTTTGAAGAGCTTGTTCCCTGCCCAAAGAGGATGTTTACAGCAGGGTTTGCTTGATCTTCCAGGAGCATACCAGGGTAATCAGGCTGATATCTCAGTCTCTTGTGGAGCCTTTTGCTTGTCCCCTTTCTTTGGTCAGAGGAAGCTCAACACAGATGAATGCACGGAACAGAAGGAACACATAAAGTTTTAAACATTATTGAGTCAAGATTTGCTGTGTATTTGCTCTGTCCTTCCCTACAACCTATGCTATACATGCAGAATTAGATGCTGGCTGAGGTAGGGAAAAGAAATAAAAGAGAAACAAAGTTCAGAGGTTACCTACTACCTCCTCACAATGTCTCCTAAGAAGAATATAGCACAGTCTTCCTACACATTCAATTGTATTCTTGAAAACTTGTCCTGAAATTAAGTTCAAAAAGTCCTCAGGTGGGGAAAAGCCCTCTTCCAGGAACCTGTTGTTTTCAAGAAAATGTGAATGGTATATCACACAGAAATTTCTGGTGTCACTCAGTGTAGATAGGGAGTTTTCTCTCTCCACCATTTCTACATAAACGGGTGAATCAACAATTTAAAATCAGTCTCTAAAATGTCAGGCTACTTTATCATCTATAAGTGGAACTGCATGGTAGAGGGTGATATTCAGTGGAAAAGAAAGAGCATTGATATCCCTATTTTGAACTCCCTCCTCTTACTCTGCTGATTGCATGGACTTCTTGAAGCTCTAGTAGATGCTGAAGCTATCCTTACCGAGTACCCCAAAACTCTTGGGTATTGCCTTCAAAAGCCTCTCTACTGCCTGATTAAAAGTACATGTTGTGAGTTATACAGCATGAATATTAATTTTTTGCACTGAGCTGAATCAGCATCTTCCAGGATCTTTTAAAGGGCACAAAAAATTGAAAGAGAGTTTAAAATGCACAGCAAATTAAAAGAGAGAATCAACGTGTTTTATGGTAACATGTGATTTGTGCTTAATTAGTAGTTAATGGATAGTTAGATGCATGTAAAGTCTGCAAGTTGGCTAAAAGACTAAGGTCAAACGGTCAAACGGTCAAGTGGCTTCCTAACTAAGATTCATACTAAGAAAAGCCTGGGCACTAAGACTCTAACTTGGATGAGTCCTTATTCTGGGAAATAGTAACTGCTTCTGAAGCTCCTATATTGCATTTTTACATTCAGCTGGAGGAAAACATTTTCAGCTTTCCAGAGGAAAAGAGGGACAGAAATTCATCCTATTCACTCTGGTCTTGTTCCTGATGGTAATAAAATACATCAAAGAAGATATATGGTGTTTGAAATTTGTTTAAAGATACTTTAACCAAAATGGCATTTTTGTATTTTAATTCTATCTCAGGTTCAGATTAACCTAAGTGCAGTGAAGTAGGGCATCCCTTCATATCTCAGCTCCATACAAAACTCCCTTCAGCCAGGCTTAACAACATAGGAATAAAACAGAGTGATATGAAAGACAAAACGTAGAACCAAGAACATAGATAGCCTAATTTTTAAAAGCACAATTCCACCACATTCCAGAAAAGCCCTGAAACTTATATGTACAGGCAGACAAGGTGGCATGAACACATATACAGGAAATTTAAACAGTACCAATATTCAGGTTTTCCCTGAAGTTCCCCAAATATCAAAATCTTTCCACTCTTGTTAATCCTGCACAACTGTGACTTTCCCCTGACATGAAGTTAAAAGTTATCTTTTGTTGCTGCACATTTTCAGTTTGGATTCAGTAGGATGATGAGGGACTTTCTCTCCTTTGAAAGTCACACAATTTATCTTCAGGAGCAGTTTTTCTACCACTAATTCATATTGCTATAAAAAGCCCAGTAACTCCAGTTTTTCTGAGTAAGGGAGTAGCATGAACCAGATACTCACTGAATATACCAAAAAAGGCCAGCTCACTAAGTAATTCTGCACTTGTCTTGCTGTGAGCTCTTGCGGTACATTTGGAGCAAATATGACCAACAAATATATCCCTGTTATTGTCAGCGTTCCTCCTTTAAAGAAAAGGACACGTTACTTTGGCAATACAGTGCTTGGCAATCATGGTTATACTTGACTTCCATCTGATTAGGAAATAGTTTCTAGAAGAAAATTTAAGTCAATTGAAACAGATCTATACTTAGTCAATTGGATTGCCCTGCGTTTGTGGTCTTATCTAATCTAATTTTTACTAAAGGCTCAAAGAATTTTGGAAATGTGAAAAAAAGTTGTCAGTAAAGCCATGTGAATTAGGGTTCCAACTCAACAATGCAATTTCAAGTGTATCACAAAGGAGAATTAATCCTTTGTATTTCCCCAAGGCACAAAGTTCATCACACAAACTTAGCCTAAACTGAAAGGACAAGTTTCCTACTGGTGTAGTCAGCTAGATGACTAACCAGTGTAAATAAACATGACTGTGCCAGTCACTGTGGCCACAGAGATCTGCACAAGCCACCAACCTGCCCTTGAAGCATCAGATGCAACACACATGTGCCACTCCAGTGCTCAAGTGAAGCTGTCATAGGGCCAAGATTCTGGCTGCTCCCTGTTGCATTTGCAGATCTATGAACTGTTTTATAAAAGGATGATTTGTAATAGACTGTTCAGCCACTAGGCTGCCAGGGCCCCATTTCAAGGTCGAACTTGCATTATTATGCTTTTAATAAAAATCTGCAAGTTCTGCCTTGTGGACATCTGCCTGTGACAAACACAGATGTTCGCTGAAGTATCAAGATAGAAGTGAGATAATCCTAAGACCATAAACTGTATTGGATTAAGGAAGATATTAGCTAATCAATTTTTTTTCAAGTAATCTTTAAAATTCTTGGTAAACCTATAAATCGGTGAGGAATGCAGGGCTCAGGAATACAAAACAAAGCACATCCGGAGGGTTTTGTTGGCACTGCTATCTCAAACAGCTCCCTTGGAAAAGCAGAACTGTGTTATATTTATGTGCTTGCAAAACCATCACCATATTTCCCATCATACAGCTCATTCTTATGGAATGTAGCAACATTGTTAAATCCATCTTGCAAAGTCAAACTCACAGAAATAAAATAAATCAGCTGAACACCAGTTAAAGCAACACACAGTGTTTAAGGCCATAAGGGAAACATGATCAGTGAAGGGAGGGGGGATTTTGAATTTAGCAGCTGAGCTGGCAAACTTGGATTCCAAACCTAAATAAATCGTATATAGTATTCCTGGAACGATACTGAACAGATCTCTCCAACACATTCATGAGAACAGCTGTCCTCACTACAGTTTGGACAATCAAGCCTAGATTTTAGGAACCCACAGAAATATCAGGTGCCCTGCATCAGGTGCACTGTCCCAGTTGAGGTGGCTTGGTGTAGAGCCCAAACCCTGAAACCTTCTTTTCTCTCACTATTGCTGCCTTCAAGGGGAGCAGTCGTGATATGCAAAAAAATCTTGGACACAGGCAAAAAGTTGACAGACTTTAACAGTGAAGACCACATTTCCCAGCTGAACACTTGAGAATATGATTATTTGTTTTTTGAAGTGATAAAACTAAAACCAAAGGGAAGTTATCACTTTAAATTGAGCTTGAATTTTTGTGCAATAGCTATGCAGTAGGAAAAAATATCTTATATTTGAATAAGTAACTCAATAACTTCCTTGATTTTATTAATTCTGTGTTGAACTCATAAAGATAATACTAAAGACAACCTCAGAGGCAAAAATAGAAAATGAAAATAAATTTGAGCAATAAGGGCACATAAGGAATGAGTTATGGTTGTAAGAGGATTTGGGAATACAGTCTTTTCCTCATGCATTGAAGATTCTCTTCCTTTTTATCACTTTTTCCCAATTTTGAAAGTATCTGCCTTGAAACACTTGCTTGGGAAGTGGGAGTGTGAAGGTGGGGGGCTGTGTGAGAGTTACAGCTTGCTAAGCATATGGCAGCACACATGTCTAAATTAGCAAATGCTTACTTACCCAATATATCAGCAGTCTTCATGGTCTTCTTTAGGAAAAAGACAGAAATAAATGCACTACCTAGAATAGATATATAAAGACTTTTATATATATACATATATTTGTTAGAATATCAAGTGCTATAGCAAAAACCTGCCTTGGGACAAATTTAAATATATCTCATGGGCATTGTTGTTGCACCATACCATGATATAAACAGCCAGCAGTCCATTTCTGCAAGCCACCAAAACTCACTTTCTGTAAGATTTCAGATGTATCCAGCAGGCTCTTATGTGGTTGAAAAGATGCAATGCCCTTCTTATTTCCCACACAGGGACACTGCTTAAACTGGTCTGATTCAGTCATATGTGGAAATGTCAGGAAAACTGGGCACTGATCAACCTTACTGTTTCACTGCCCATTTGGCTACCCAGTTACTGTATGGACGTGCTCGAGGCAAATTGCATCATAGAGCAATAAAATTCTGCTTCTTTAGTCTTCAATGTATTAGAAGCTTATAAGCAAAGTAACAGCAGTACAATTGAGAAGAGGAAAGCCACTGCAAGAACTTAGTTCACTTAGTATGAACTAAGTGATCATGATGGCTGCAGACAGAGAGGGAGAAAACCCCACACATGTATGGGAGCACTCTCCATGGTCTTTCACAGTGACTTGCACTGAGGAAGGAGAAAACTGTGAGTCCTAGAAATGATTTCTTGTTTTCTGAGAAACACTTTCTCTTGTGCAGCTCTTGCATCTGACCTCTGCCATCTCCTAGTCCTGCCTCCTCAGGATGGGCAGCAGTGGGGGATGAGCAGCAGCAGTGCTCATTAGGGCACGTTTTGTGGTTAGCAGCTCAGTGTGGACATGTGCTGGAGAGGAAAGAAGGGCTTTGAACTTAGGTGGATGAGACTGGGGAGACATGGCTCTATCCCAGCATACAACATCTACCTCTAAAAAGAAGAAAAAGAGGCTGGATAAAAGAGATGAGTAAAGTCCTCTGTGAGAGGTGCATCAGCAATGTTAGATTCATTCAGAAACCTCAAAGGAAGACTGCTCAGGAGGAACAGTGAAGGAACACATTTAAAAATTCAAGGAATGCTGCTACTCTCTACTTCTCTACAGCTTGGTTTATTCTTGAAATAACAGTTCAACATTTTTACAACTATCTTTGCCTCTTTATCTCTATTGTTCTCATGGAAAACTTAATTCATGGTTTGCTAGTAGATGTACTCTAGAAAAATCTAGAGAGGTGCATACCAAGAGGTAAACAGAGAACTGGAATTCAGCATCAGGCCTCTGTTTTCCAGTCAGTAGAAAATCAGAGAGAGCAGAAGTCATAAAATTAAACTGTAGCAAGAGTGATGGGGATCTGTGCACACAAATAAGCACAATAAAAGGATCTTCAACTGAAAATGCCTCACTGAAATTAGGTTGCCTGATATGGTTTTCTTTATTCAATTTTAAAGGGATGACTTTGCTGGAGTGAAGACACTGATGGTATCCAGGCAACACTGGCAATAGAAGAGCTACCTAGGTTTAGAAAAAAGGGACAAAAACTGGTAAAGAAGCAGCAGCATCCAAGATAGTGCAGGAATTAATTACTGCTCTGTCTCCCTGCTCTCACAGCTTTTACAAATCCCACCTCAAACCACTCACCTAGATAGTCTCTGTCACAGCAAAGAGCTGCTGCTTAAAGCACAGATACCTCAGTGATTTTTTTGCTGTTCTTTTTGTTTGTTTGTTTGTTTTGAGTACTCCATGTCTGGACTCTGCCTTCAGCAGAGGTCTAGTAAATGCAATTCCACTGTTGGCATCCAATTTGGGGTAAGATGAGTTATGCCCAAATGTCAGCTTACAGGGATCACAGCCTCTGAGGCTGGCAGTGGGCACAAGGAGTTGCTGGAATGCAGCCAGGCAATGAAACTTGTCCCTCTGCTTTAATAATGCATTCAAATGCAGCAAGCCCTGTCTCCAGAGATAGCTGGTACTGCACCAGAGATCATGAGCTTAACAGAATCTATGTATAATTAATACTCTATGAGGTAGAGCAATATGTAGAGGAATCTAAAAATAGGAGAGGTTTTAAGAACACATATTAGACCATCTGGGAGTAGAGAAAAAGCTGCAGTAGGAAGGGAGGCACAACACCAAGGTGAATGAGACCCAGGAGATACTCTGAACACACAACACAGCTGTCTCTGGGGTAAGCTGCCAATGCTCCAGTTGCACTCAAGTGAAGAAGAAAAGGAAATGGGGTAAATAAAACAGAATAAGCAGAGAACAGTTGCACAGACCTGATGAGATGCTAGAAGACATACATGACTGATCAGAAGCCTCACAAACTCTGGCTGTTACCTCCAGAACTAAACTTTAGGTAAGTTATGGTAGCATGGCCAAGAGACTGTGATATTTTAATTTGACTTTTGTTAGTTTTCTGGGGTCTAAGCTCCCAGGTTTGACCTGGGATAGTCTTCCACATATACATCCTTCGAGGTAGGCTTGAATCAGATTAAAGCAAAGAATCCCAGAGCTGATTGTCTTGTTGCAGATGGGTCAAGAAGGAGGAATACAAAAGGAGCCTTGGGAATGCAGGCTGGTGTTTGCCAGTTTTGCCTTCTGCTGGCTTTGCAGCCTTTTCTGGCTGGCAGGACAAATGACAGACATCAAAGTGCTCCCCAGGAGCCCAGTGAGAAATCCACAGCCCTCCCAGCTGCTCTGCTCCTCCTCCTGAGCTCCTTTGTGCTCCCACTCACAACCCTGGGTGCACTCAGTTGCTCAGGACATGAATTCCTCCCAAAGAGGCAGTTTAAGGCCAACACACACTCTCTGCTCTCCTCTCTGCAGGGTGGCCTCCAAGCTGATCCTGCTTTGAGCAGGAGCTTGGGTTAGGCACTTCCTGGGGTTCCTTCCAACCTGAGTTCTCCTAGGACTTGTGGACTCTTTGCAGGAGAGCAAGTGGGCATCCAGAGGCTAATAACCAGGCCTACCAGATATATGAATATAAGCCCTTACTGTATCCCAAATCCAGTTCTTAAATGCAGACCTACTGAAACTCCCCAGACTCTCCTCTCCTTTCCTACCCTCCCTCAGACCACATGTGAGGTGTCTTGCATCTTCCCACCTCTCCTCCTCTCTACCAGTGATGTTCTACCCCCACACTTTCCTCCTAGCCCACTTCCCCTTGATTTCACCCCATCACCACAGTGTAAGTTTAATTCCCTACCACTCAGCCCAAATTTTTCCTTTCCCATGCCAGAGTTCTTTTGCTCTTCCTTCACAGAAACTGTGCTTCCTCCTCCTCCATCACATTATAATGATGTGAGAAATAAATTATTGAACATTTTGTTTAAGTCTGTGAGTGAATAGACTGGGGAACTTGGGCAATTGCTGTGCTGCAAAGTATGAATACATCTTTGCAATGTTTTTTCTTTTTTGTTGTTTGCTTTCTTTTTTAAAAAAGAAACATAGAGACTGAGATCTGTGTCAAAGTGAGGAATAGTTTTCTTCTTGTTGTTTTTTCTTTTTTTTTTTTTTTTTTTAATTGGTTAGCAATAGAATACAACAATACAGAAACCCAGACAAAAGAATCGTGTCAAAGCTGGCAGTAGCTTGGGAACAAAACAAGCAATTTATCATTGTTCTGAAGCCTTGCTGGTTTTGAACCACTGGCTTTGGGAATGCAACACATGGACAGCCCCAGGCCTGGATTATCAGCCTTCAAGACATCAAAACAAAGCCTGGTCATCTGAGAAGACTTGTGTACTTTTGGGTGAATTAGAATAATTTTTTAGCTTTTTCACTAGTTATTAAGGTAAAACTTCCAAAAGTAGGCAGAGATCCAGCTCCCATTCCCAGTGACAATGGTAGCCTGCTAGATGAAGAGAAGGGCAGAAAATCTGTGAGATGATCTGTTAAGGATTAAAATCAGAGAACCAGCACATCCTAAGGTAATCCTTGAGTTTGTTTCATGCCTTGAATGCGTGCTTGTATTAATACCCATAATTTGAGAAATAAATAGGTACTGTAAAATGCTTGTATCTATACAAGAAAGCCTTTCTTAATGCTCATGAAACTCAAATGGAAAATATGATTTGACACTACATCAAAATCATCATGATAAATAAAAACTGTTGGGTGGAAAAGGGGGGAAAGGGTTTGTTCAGGAACTTAATTGTTATCTAAAAATCTTCATCTTCTTATACATCAGCATAAACCAGGCTGGTTTACAATCATTATTGAATGAATATATTAATTATATATTGAATGATCATATATTCATATATATTGAATAAATGTGCATTCATTGCAGCATGTGAACTTCAGTGTAAATTGAAAAAAATGATAAAAATTTGAGGTTTTTTATGATATGCAATTAAGTGACTTGAGAAAGGGCTGTAATGGTGCTACACATAGCTCAGCCAGCTGCTCATTCTCTTAGGAGAGTGATCATTCACAATTATCTCCATATGTAGGTTTTCTCCAGCACAAATAGAAATAAAGAGCAGTGTGATGTGTGGGTTCTGCCACTAGCAGACAATGAATGGTGAGAATCCAGCTCACAAAATAACTCCTGTGTTTCCTAGACATGAAAGCTGCAATTATGATTGGGTTGTGTTTGTTTCTTTAAGAAAGGGATAATACACAACAGAAATAAAAGATAGAAAACATACTGATTCATGGTATGTATTCTGTGTATTTTGTCCAGTCCAGCCATAAAAAACTCAAGTGTGTGTGCATGATTTATTTTTCCTATGCAAAACTATTTCACTATAATTGACTATTGAGCTGTTTTCCTAATAGTCAAGCCATTTATGAATATGATCTTTTTACCTCTTGTTGTTACTGTCTAATTCTACACTAAATAGTTTTTGTAACAAATGTTCATAACAGTTATATACATATATAATTGTTTATAACAGTTAATAACAATATTATTATATTCTTTCTTTTCCTCTTTTCAATTCCCAGATGAGCTTTATGCACTATTTAAAAAGATTAGTGCTCTCCCTATAAATGCAAAGACTGCTTGCACTACTGTCTTCTCCAACAGTTTTCAAAAAAAATCCACAAAATTTCATATTTGCTTTAAATGTTAATTCTCTTAAGCTTAACAGATTCAGTCAGGCAAAGGCATTTAAATTCACCCATGCAGAAGAACACTTCACCAGTGGTCTGGATGGAATACCAAGAGAAGAGAACTAGATATAATTCAAAGATTATTGCACCTCACTCAGTTTGTACAACAATATTTCACTTTGAGACCAAGCACTTACTCTGTATTATGCAACCTAAGGGTGTGCTTCCATCTAATCAAGCAGTTTAAGTTCACCCAGTTGATTTTGCCCTAAATCATTTGAGCAGTGCTCAAGTTATGAGGATGCAGTTGCTGGCAGTCACATTCCAAGATGTGACCTCAGAATATGCTTTTTATGAACAGACCCTCAGCCTGTCTTCCAAGCTGAAGTGGTTCAGGACCCTCCCAGTACTGAAAACTTGAAGATGCTTCAATCCATCCCCAAACAGAAGCTATTGTGGTCTGCCACAGAGTCAGGAAAATCTGGAGAGACAATGAGTTACACAGTGCAACTCATTGCTGCAGCTCAAATGACACCTGGGAACAAATTCATCACATCTAACTGACTTCTAAAACCCATTCTTAGTTTATATGATGGAGATTAATGCTCCACTGAATACAAAGAAAGACATTACAGATACCTCTTGACAGCTGTCTTGCACACTGAACCTGTAACATTTCTAACATGATCAAAGATTAGTACTGGAAAAGTGGTGAACAAAACATGAAACATTTTTCCCCATCTGAGAAACTGCTCAAAAGAGAGACCATTAAAGTGAGCTTAATTCTGGAACCTGGATTATAGGACATACACATTGCAGAGAGAAGGAAAAACTCTGAATATCCTTTTTCTTGCTTTTTCTAGACAAGTACAAATCAAGTATTTTAAAGAAGAGTTTAGTGAATGTTTCCTAGATATCATTAGTAACAGAGTCCTCAGAATTCCAAGTTCTTGGGCCACAAAGATGTTACATTACAGTGAGTGGGAAAAATCCATTTCTACAAGAGTATCTGAGAATCTTCCCAAACTATCTCTTTCCTAGCACTGAAGCCCCCCATTGCTGTTTACAAGGAGCATATAAAAATGCAAAGGGATCTTAACAATGTCAGCCTGGGTGGAGCAAGTGTAAAACAACTCCCCACAGAATGGTGAACACTGCAGAAGAAATGGTCTCCAATGCCAATGACTTTTCCTCACCTTTCCCATCCCCAAGTCATTTCTGCAGACAAAAGCAAGATGATGAGCTAAAAACCACTGCAACCTAAAATTACCCAAGCTACGTGAAAAACATGAGTTTTACTTTTTAAGTATAGAAAGTTTCTTAATGATCACATCAAACATGTATTACTCCTCCACTTTTAAATTAAAAATTTACTAATTTCTCCTCTTGAAGAAAACAACTGCTGTCTTCTCAAACTATTTAAAACCCTGAACAGATGTAGAGCTTGCATCATTGCAACCACACACAGAAATACTTCCACTGTGTAAGAAGAAAAATATATTTTTTTTCTATCTCAATTCTAAAAAAATATATATTTAAATCTCTTGGCACCATGCCAATTCATGATCTTTGGTGCTCTATTCTTTTTAAAATAAGACACTGGAACAATCCAGCTCAATAGAACGAGGCACAAAGTTTTCAGTATTTAATTGATACCGGGTTAAGTGCAAAATCCAGTTGGATGTAGTTAAATGTGGTGGCAGAGCATAATAGATGTTGGCTCCATCTATTTTAAGATGCTTCCCGTCTCAGAAGTCTGGAGATATATGATGGGTACAGCCCAAATCCATTCTGGGCAGAGACTCCAGTCTGCCTTCTCCTCCTCCAAACCCTGGTTTCCAAGCAAAGGAAACTCCCTGCAAACCCAGAGACCTGCAGAGAATCCCCTGGATGCCTGGACATACTGCAAAGCACATTTCTCCTCAGCACACCATATGTCCTGCATTTCCAATGGCACTGAGTCAGCCCTTACCATATGGGACATGTTGACACTGAATTTGGGAACAAAATGCTTCTCAGAAGGTTGGACTTGGGGTTCAGGTATGCATTTGGAGTTTGTTATTAAGTACTTAATTTGTTCATTTAAAAATAATTAATTTATGAAAGACATTCAACAATACCTCAAAAAAACCTGTGAGGTAGACTCTACAAAGGCCACTCCCACCACTTAAAAGTGGTCACAACTTAATGAGAAAACTATTTCTTGATCTTTTAAACTGGAAAACCTGCTGCCTAAACTACCCTTGGCCCAGTTGCTAGCAGATGATGCACACATGACTTGGGCAGTTCGTCATTGCCCTAAATGATGAACTCTTTTAAAATTGAAAGGATGCTCTCTCTCTGGCTTTAATTTCAGAAGACAGGAAAGTATCTTGTAGTAGGAAGTGTTACTAGGAAGTTATTGCTGTAATTGGCTGTCTGCATGATTTTGCTTGCTCTTCTTTAAGGGAATGTTTGCTAGACTAAATAAAATTTCAGATATTTCTATTGTTTGGGCTGTGAAATGGACACTGCCAGCTGATTTATGGGAATGGAATATAAGATATTAAAGTGCTTTCTGGAATCTTACAGAATAAGCGTTCTGGGACAGTTTAAAAAAATAAAATGGGTGAGAATTTTGGTAAGACATAACAGTTAGGAAAATAGTTTCTTGGTATTTATTGTAAGTGAGGGAAGTGTAGAATGAAGGAATCACCAGATGCAACACTTCTTCACTTTTTGCAAAAGCAAAGAAGGAATCAGCTCGGATAAAAATCAACCCTAAATGTGATCTCATCTTTTTCAGTTTAATAAATATTGGGATTTTTCTTCCTACTCACTGCTTTTTGCTTTTTCTTTCTAATTTTCTATAATTTTATTCAGCTTGGACAACAAATGAGATCAGCCAACGCTCTTTGATGTTCAGAGAAGTTCTGACAATGCCTACAATTGTTACAGATAACTACTGCCACCAAAATCACACTGGGATACATCATATTAAGTTACACTTTCATCTCAGGTAATATGTCATTCCTTTCTTTGTGAACTCTTTCCTACTATGATGAACTAACATGGTTTTGTATCTGAAATTCTGCAATAGAATTTAGCATTGAAGGTTGCAGTAAATTGCCTGCAGTTTCCTTTTCCCTCTCTCTCTGCTAAATTGCACCTACATATTGTGAGCTGCTTCATTCCCCTACAGCTAAGCAGTCCACTGGGAAGGTATTTCATCTTTTCTACCTTCCCATGGAGAGTCACTCACTGCAGTGTCACTTCCAAGCATGTAACTGGTAGCTGGAGACCATGCAATGTAATCACTTGCCAATAGCAAGTAAATGAGCTCCAGCATATTCAGAACTGTTGAGATCTCTCAGTCCTGGATGATTCAGCTGTGGATGTGAAGTGACCAGGTTAAGGGATGTAGCTGCACCCTCTATTCCTGTTTTTACAGCTTCTGTGCAATATTGCCCTGTCTACCCTGCCTTACACTAGCACAACATAAGGACATATTTTCAAATGTGTGTTACTTTGTCAAAGAAACAGACATCTCATACCTGAGCACCTTAATAACAAAAACCCCTACATGAAGTAAAGAGTGAGATCCTGTCACTTCAGCTAAAGTCCAATTAATCTGTACATAAAGGAACAAATGAACATGTTTAATAATGTCCATAAATGTACTTAACATTTCTGGAAATTTCTAGGCCCTTTTTGTCACACATTGAAGAGTGTCAAGCAAGTTTGCCCACATCAACATGAATCATGGTGAACAGGCAGCAGAAACTACTTGGTGTGATGGTAACACAGAAAATGTGCTGTAGGTACTCAGGATCAGAGCACAGCTCTGAGCATGCAGCAGGATGCCAGTTCCCCTCTTTGGGAGCTTGCAGAACTGGCAACCCTTACAGCACTGGGCAGGAGCTAGCAGAGCACAATGACACAAAAGACAAAACCAGGGAAAAAGAAATATATTAGAAGAGTCTTTGATTTAAGTAGACAGTTTTTGTCAAACTGTCAGCTCATGTAATTATATGAATAATTTCTTTTCAAACCATGACATTAACATTTTCCTCTTGTGTTCCTGCTGCAGTTTCTGTGGTATCATTCCTCTAGCCAGAAGCAAGCAGCTAGAGTGAAGCACATACCTGAGCAAGAAATGGCAAATGGTCTCACCTATAACAGAAACAGATCCCAGTGGAGCCACCAGAGCGATGGGGGCGAGGGCATAGGCTGTGAAAGTGCCCAGCTCTGCCAGCCCCAGGAGGGCAATGCCACAGCACCACAGCTTGCTCCTGTAGCACGGCTTCGGCTCTGCCTGGCAAACCAGCCGGAGGTGAGCGCATTTCTAGAAAAGGAATTATCAGGAACAGGCATGAAGAGAAAAACTTCCATTGTGTTCTTATGTCTGACAAAAGTGGCATAATTAGGGGGCTGTCAACTTCAAGTTCCAGGTGCATCAAGGTTTTCTTTTTAAACGTGACTTTGAGCTTGTTGCTGCAGAGCTTTGTGTTAACTCGGTGCTGCTTCAGATGCGCTTTCTTAGCCTGAAAAATGCTAAGTGAATACTAGCTAGTGATTCCTAGGTATCACTGCACACATTTGCTCCTGTCTCAAAGCAAAGCTCAGCAGTTGTGCTCTGAATCTGGAAACACTCAAAGGCAGGAGACAGGGCAGAATCAGAACTGTGGCAACAAACCGGGACAGGGGGAACAGACAACAGGGTGTTCCTGTCTGTGAAACCTATCCTCACCACGAATATACTTTCAAAATGAAAAAGGTGGCACTTAGTCACACCTTCTGTAGGGAGGACTCTAAATTAATTAAATAGAATTTATGATTTGGCTACAGTCTCCTGTTTGACCTTAGAAGGAGATCAGAAGTAAAACATTATTTTCTAAAGAAAAAACAGTTGGCACAGGTATAACATATACTCAAGTAATACTTCATCAACACTTCCTGTTACATGACGAAGGTATCAAGTTGGCACAAGTTGTTTTTTCTCTGGCTGTACAGCAAGAACATGTATATAGCAAGACAATTTGTCTTTGATCACACTGATCCTCTGAAACAGAGTCCAGGCAGTCTCCATCAAGAAAGTGTCATAACTGGGAATGATGCAATGTTTACCAAATTAATTCTGCAGATTATATTTTCTTTTTTCAAATTACTCTCCACCCTTTCTGCACATGGATCAAAAAAGGTGGAAATCAAATGATACAGTTATTACAGTACAAATGGTGGTAAAAGAATTTTTTTTTTCTCCATCACTTGATATTTGATTTTAGAAGTCTCCCTGCAGAGCCCAGGGAGGTTGTAAAGGATTTTCCTCATACTCCCATCCTTCTCTGCAGGCTACTTGACAGAGCATGGGACAAACAGCAATGTCTGTAATAGCCCATAGTCTTCGTCAGTGCTCTTGTTGAGAAGATGTAGCACATTGTTGCAGCTTTGTGCTGTGGAACATGTTCAGGGGATGAAATTCTAGGAGAAAGTTTAGCCTTCCAAGAAGAAAAAGAGCAAAAGGAAATCAAACTTGTGCCACCCATCCAAAATGGATTTTCCATTTTTATAAACAAAGAAACAAAAAAACCCCAATAAAGATACAAATTAAATTAATAGTAAATAATACTAAATTATTATTCAAGAATACGAGTTTCTGCCAAAAATTAAATAGACAAATTCTTAACTGAATCCTGAGGGGTATTTTCACCCCAGATTCTTGTAGGATTAACTTTTGAAGACACAGTGAGATTGAAAAGGTGTGCAGCAAACACAGGAAGGTGAGCTCAGCAACTCCCCTACAGCCTTCTTTCTCCAGATGTCTGTCTTTGCACAGTGATATGTGCAAATGGTATTTAGGTGGAAGCTGTTTACAACTCAGCTGAAATTGCAAATGATGAGCTGTTCTTTAGTAGACAACCTGCTAGAGGGAAGAGAAACAGGATAATGGACTACATGGTCAGAAAGGGACAGAACAAGAAAATTTGGCCTGCCCAGTTAATAGGATGTGAAAATAAATGTTGAGATTTAGGGAAAGTCGTTATTCATATTTAGAAGATATTGTTACTAAATGGAGAAAAACCCAATTTAAAGGATAAAAATAATCAGTTTAATTTTTCTGTCATATGGCAATGAGAACCATTGGGTTTCCCTAATCAACATTTAAAAAGATGATAGTTCAAATCCAGTAAGGGCTGTTATGATTACAAGTCAATGGAAGTATGCTTGTATGCCTTGGTACATCCCCTTGCAAAGCATCTACTTTGGCACCCAGTACCCTCAGCAGACAAAAGATATGAACTCTGAACAACCTCATTATTATGGCCAGACTTAATTTCCACTTCACCTTCACTTTTCTTCACTTCACCTTTACCTTTCCACTTCAACTTCAGAGGTTTTCCTAGAGCCCGTCCTAGCACTGTCACCACTTGTAGGTTGGAATTCCTGTTTGAAAGGCAGCAGTCATCTCAACTTGCCTACCTCCTCTGGCTAAACAGGTTTCTTTCTGTGGGATTCTCCAGCTAATGATGTTAAAATAGAAAGGAATCACAGAAGAACTGTGGTCGTTTGACAGGAAATATGTTTTCTGGGATGCTGTGGTCAGGCCAATGGGTGCTCAGATTTTAATATTGGCACCTAATGTGGCCATTGGGACATTGGATCCGCCTCTGAGCACACGGGGTTAAAGCAGGGCTCTCCCCTGGGAGGCTCTCTTGGGTTCCAGTCAGTGAAAGGTTCAGAGCTCCCCTGTCTGGCTGCGGGCTGGGCAGGGCAGGGGCGGCAGCCATGCGGCCGGGTGAGGTAGGCCGGGCCCTGGACAGAAGGGAGGGGAAGGCCCCTGCAGGGTGGAAGGGTGGAGGAGCACTGAGAGGCATCAGACAGCCACCCTCACCCAGGAGAGACAGAGAGAGAGCCTGTGCCTGTGCTGGTGCCACCTTGAAATTTAATAGTGGACGGCGGAGAAGGAGAAGGGGAGGGGTGTGGAGAGAAGGTGCCCCGCAGGGCAGCCGTGGGAGTTCTGGACAGACAGAGCCTCAGATTTTTAACCCTTTTCTTGGATGATGGAAACTTTACAAATGCTGATCCTCCTGGAGCTGAATGAGAAGAGAGATAGAGATAAGAGGAAATGGGCCATGAGAGAAATAGAGAAGAACTCAGGTGGAAGAGATGATGGAGTAGCTTATGCTGGACTCTTTTTGTGTAGCCATGGACAGAGCCATGTTCCTTGTGATACAGGGACTGCATTCTAGGGGGAGGCAATGCCTCAGGACCAAGAGGGTTTGGTGTGGGTACCCCCCAGCCCCAGGGGGTGAAAAATATGGGGGGGACAGATGTCCCAAAGTTGAGACTGTGCCTTTTTGAGTGGGACGAAGCATCCTTAAAAGTCGACCCTAGAAGCAGCTCTGGTCCGTGTTCAGTGGTGAGAGCACTGGACATGAAAGGAAGAGGTCACCATTGGCACAAGGAGGACTCCTTCTCCTCTTGATGAACTGAGGATTGAGTGTTCTGAAGGGTGGTGCCGGACCGAGAGTCAATTATTTGGGGGATGTATTGGGAATTTGGTGGGGAGGAGGAGGAGATGTATTTGTGAAGTTTTCATTTTCCTTGTATGTTTCTTTTTTTTTTCCCTTTCATTTGTAGTTTAGTTAATAATTTTTTTTTCCCAAGTGGGAGCCTGCTTTGCTTATTCCTGATCACATCTCACAGGAGAAACCAGGGAGAGGGTATTCTCATAGGGGCACTGGCATTGTGCCAGTGTCAAACCATGACAAGAACCTTCTAGCTTTAATAAATCGGGTTACTATGAACAGAAACTTTCATATTCCACAACTTTCTGTTTCATTCTTTACAGAAAAAGCAAGAAGTAGCTTTATATGAGACCAGCACAACTTCTAAAATACTAGCTAGCAAAAATACTTCTTCTGAACAATTTACACAACAATGTCTTCTGTGCTTTAAAAACTTCTGTTAGAAGACCTCAAAATGCAACTAAGCCTACAAGATACAGACTATAATGAAAAATGTAACTTTCTACTGAGTATGTATTCTAATTATTAAAATAGAAAGTATTTTATAATTGACATCCTACAATGTTTTACCACAGCTGTAAGGACAACACCTTCCTTTACTTTTATGATTTAAATAGTGTTTACTCAGATTATTTTATCTTAATTGCAGAAGAAGAACTAAATTGGCCAAAGTTGTTTTGGGGTCCAATATTGTAAAGACCTGTATGTCTGTATGCATTTATGGAACAAGTCCTGAAGGAGATGACTCAGAAAGGTGCCCTCCTTGATCTCCTGCCTGTTAGCTCTCGTGGGTGACATGGTGACTGGCACCGTCTTGGCCACAGAGACCACGAAATAATCAAGCTGAGAATCCTTGTTGACAGGAGGAAAAGTACAGCAAAACCTCAGCTCTGGACATGAGGAGAGCAGACTTCAGGGACCTAGTTAGAAAAGTCCCCTGGGAAAGGTTTCAGTAGTGCTGGGGTCTGTCAGTGCTGGTCACTTTTTAAACATCACCTCCTAAGGGCACAGGAGCAGCAATTCCCCAGTGTCAGAAGTCAAGCAGAAGGCTGGTTTGGTGAACAGGGATCTTCTTTTGGATCTAAGGCAAAAAAGGAAGGTGTGTGCCCTGTGGAAGCAAGGTCAGGTGACCTGGAAGAATAAGAGATGCAGCTTGCCATGTTAGGGAAAAACTTCTTGTGGCCAAAGCTCAACTTGAAGACAGACAGAAATGTGGAGGACAATAAAAATTGATTTTTCAGATATTTAATAGCAAAAGGCAGCATAGAAATAACATCAGCCTGTTACAGGATGTGGATGGGCACCTCACAAACAGGGACATGGACAAGGCAGAGGTGTTTAATGCATCCTTTGCCTCTGTCTTCAACACAGATGAGGACCAAGGGGGTCTCAGTGCTCTGAGCTGGAGGACCATGGCTATCAGAATGATCAAATCCCAGGTGGTTCTGAACTTGTACTGCTCCAGCTGGACCCCTACAAATCTATAGGGCCTGATGGGATTAATCCAAGAATCCTCAAAGAACTAGCTGATGTCATTGCAAAATTTCTCTTGATTTTGGTCTCTCAGCTGACTGGAAGGTGGTGAACATTGTCCCAGTTTTCAAGAAGGGCAAGAAGGAGAACCCTGAAAAATTCCTGTCAGTCAGACAGGAATCAGAATTGAGACCTGTCAGTCTCAATTCAGTGCCACTAAAATAATGGAAAAGATTATTCTGGGAGGTATTGAAAAACACCTTGACGTCAACACAGTCATTGGTCACAGCCAGCACAGCTTCATGAGGAGAAAGTTCTGCTTATCAAACCTGACTTCCTTCTGTAACAGGGTAACCCACCTCACTGATCTAGGAAAGCCAGTTAATGTAATCTTTTTGGACTTCAGCAAAGCTTTTGATACTGTCTCTTACAGTACCCTTCCTTAATCCCAGGTTCAGTGGGACCACAAGTGACTCACAACTGGTGTTTCTTTCTGGCACATTGAAAGGAGGAGGAGTTATGAATATTTCTTCTATTCCTGTATGACAATCACAGCACAGAACAGGTTGAGAGCTCCCAACAACTCCCAACTCCCAGCAATTATAGCAGGGCACTGCTAGATTATAGTTAATGAAAGAGAGAAGGTTTAATAAATGCCACAAAAGTTGCACTTTGAACTTCATCAAAACCAAACTGCAATGTAAGTACTTGCTAAACATAAACAACTCTGAATAAAGAGAAACCATATCATACCTGTATATTCAAAGAGACACTGATGAGAAAATTTGAAGCAGCAGCAAGTAAAACTCCAAACAGCTGAGTCTGCAAATCACAAGGCAAAGAAATACAAAAATACTTATTAGTTTAAGAAGAACAATATAATGGTGGTTTTCTGATAGCACATTATGGCCCAATCAAAACCAAATTATTGTACTTGTCAGTCACTGAGTTCATGCTGCAATGAGTAAAGTGGTAAGGAATACCTTCTGCATAGTTGACTAGGGCTTAAGTAATAAACAAGTGGGAATGGAAAGGCATGCTGGTTTTGCTGTCCTTCAGTAGAAAACCTTCTTAAATCTCATGAAAGACAAAAGTAGGCAGTTGAAAACCACAAACAGGGGTTTTCCCCCAAAAAAGACCTAGTTTTCTACATTATCCAGAAGGAAAACCATCAGCAATCAAACCATTCCTACTGGAACACAATTATCTTACGTGTTAACATATCCACTATTTGACAGGCAGCCAGGAACATAGGTGTCCTGAAAGTGTCTTTAATGTATTGTGTTATTTCATTTAAAAATTTCCTAATCAGACTGTCTAAATTTCACTAAGATTTGCAAGCTTTCTATGAAGCCAAGAAATTAAAAACACTCAAGCAGGATTCATTATTTTGGAAAGAAGTTGTTTAAAGATGCCATTTCAGCAAGGTCAAACAACATGTACTTGACAGAGCTCCCTGTCCACTGTCAAAATGTTCCAACACATTGCAAGCCATCCTAAGTGTATTAAAAACCCATTCAAGGTCACTTCTATAGTGCTGTGAGGATCCCCATTAGCTGGTAGAGAAGACAAACATAACCATCAGTTTTTATAAACAAGGTCATGGTAATATAACCCAGCATAACAACTGTTTCCAGGCTGTAAAGCAGCATCCAACTCTGTGCTTACAGCCTCATGTTTCATGATACTTACCCAAAAGGTCCCTGGGCAGCTCTGAACAGGCAGCCCCAGAGACTGCTACCCTTCAACATTTATAAAGAGCAACATGATCTTCCAAAAGCACTTGGAGGGGGGATTGTTGTTGTGGTTAGATAGTTCCCAGACTAAGCAAAAGCATCCCCAAAAGTGTGAAGAAACAACAGCCTTATTACAAATCAAATATAATATTTAAGCCAAGCAGCAGAACCCAACTGTTTCCAGCCCCTCTGTTTCTGTAGTGGCTTGGAGCTGGCAGGAGAAGCTGACAACAGAACTGCTCTGAGAGAAGGGCTTGGCTGCCTGCCAGGTGTCACCAAGACATGACTGATGGGTCCAAAGGGATTCAGGGACAAGAAAGCAGCAAGGGAGTGCTGCTAACTATTACAGAATCAGTGCCATAGCTTGCATACAAGAAGCATCCAGTGAGAAGCATTACTCAAGATTTTAGCCCATAGCCTCTGATGCATGGCCACTGGAGGTCCTTCCCCTCTTGCATCCTCTCCCTGGGATCCAGCAGCATGTTCTGGGCTCTCACACACACACTGTGTTCTTCTTGCTCTGGGAACACCCCTCCCTGGAGCCTGGGACACCTCAGCACAGAGGTCCCTGCAGAGATCAGCACCCACTGTTACAGGGACACACAGCGTCCTTCCACTCTGGGGAAATGCTGCCACATGGACACCACCCTCTGCAGAAGCACAGGGGATGGGTTTTCCTTCCTTATGCCTTAATGCTGTAGCATCAAATCCTGAGCACTGATCTTGCCCAAAGTTTGACCACTTCATCCTGCCCACACAGCAGCTTCAAAAAACAGCAACTAAATCAAAACTGTTTTCTTGCTACTGAAGATTTGTACTTTTTAAATGACAACATGCTCCCTTGTGAGGAGGTGGAGAAGTGGCCTTGTCAGCCTTGTCGTGAAGTGTTTAAGAAAAAGGAGACAGAAGGGAATAGAAAACAGAATCTGCCCCCTCATTTACCCCATCATTTTACTGCACTTACATTAGTAATTGTAACAAATCCCCACTACTCCCAGCTGAGAACTCAGTCTCTCTGTGGCTCTTGTTGTTCCAGAGGCTGATCCTATCGTTATGGCTGCATCTCTGGATGCAACCCCTTGCAGCTCCTTCCTCCCAGTATTCAGCTGGGGGTCACAAACCTTGCACAGGACTCAGTAGGCAACCAACACACCACAGAGAAAACACCATTGATGTGAAGCCAGACCACAAGAGGGTCTCCATCCAGCTCTTGAATGCAGCTGGTGAGCAGAGGATGAGGTCATGTGTTCCATTGGTCATCTAAAATAATGTGCTAAATCAGATCCATGTGTGGGTACTGATGATGACCTGAGTGTGTGCCTCTAGAGGCTGTGAATCAAATCTCCAGCAGTGGGTTTTCCAATGCCCTGCATCCTGGGTGTCCTCCCCAGAACAGCAACTGCTTTTGCACCACAGTGGTTGCTTCACCAGGTACCTGTGAGCTTGGCTCAGATATCACTGTGGGACGCATAAGATTTCTATCACAATGACCTGCCTGTGTCTGAACAGAAACAATCTTACAAAGGTCAATTCTCTTCTTGGAAAAACACAGAATGGTTTGGGTTGGAAGGGAGCTTAAATATAATTTAATTCCAACCTCTCTGCCACGGGCAAGGACACCTTCTACCATGCTGGTCAAAGCCCCATCCAGCCTTGAACATTTCCAGGAATGGAGCATCCACAATTTCTCTGTGCAAACTGTTCCAGTGCCTCACCACCTCATTGTGAAAAGCTTCTTCCTTGTATCTAGTCTAAATCTACCAACTTTCAGCTTAAAATCCTTATCCTGTGACACTCCTCTGTGCCCAACTTAAGCAACCTCCTGGTTTGCACCCAAGGAAAAGCAGTGCACGTGTACAGGCAGCAGGCCGGGCTCAAACCTCACCCCCATGGCTCAGGTCACCTTATGGCAATGACCACATGTTTCACCTGAGCATTGCTGTTGGCATATATACTGCAGGGCCTGCTCCAGGCTGACAGGGGCTCCTGAGCTCTGCTCAGCATGGGGATAGCACCATGCTTCCAAAGGCAGGGCTGGACACACCCCTGAAGATTGAGAGCAGAGCACAATGCCCTAAGGAGGTCAAACATCACATGGATCCATTCAGGGAGATGAGATGAAAGCACAGCAACACCCTGCCGCTACAGCATGGCAAAACTATCTCATGTGGGTTTATACCCACATGTGCTTATATTAAATTAAAAAATGGGGGGAAATGCAGTAAAGAGGAAAATTACATTGCAAACATCTCAAATCAGAGTGAATCAAATCAGCAGGCAATTTTTAATGAACCAGGGTTACCACATACAGCAGCACTCAGAGGAGAAAAAGCATATCTCAGGCTAGGAAAACCATTCATGAAAGACAACCTGCAACTGAAGACAGATCACAAAATTGTTGTACTGCCCTGAAAGCCACCAGAGCCCTTCTGTTCCCATCTTATCATGTGAAAGGCTTCATAATTTGTGCAGTGTCTGCCATTTAATGTCCTTCAGAGGCTAAAGGACTGGTGGAACAGCCAGTTTAATAAGTAATAAACATGATATTCTCTGAGTTTCCAGTTGTGATATCCAGTTGTGATATCATCCACAGCACTGCAGAGCTTCCCACACATAAGTCTCAAGACAAACCTCAGTTGGGGAATTCAGTTGCAGACACAACTTCAGAGCCATGGTACTGCTTCAGTCAACTAAGGACTTCTACAGGAAAGAGCTTTAAATATTCAAAACTGTTGGCATAAAATGTAAGTTTCTTCATCACTGAAACATCTGTCTGAGCATACAGGCCACTTTGTCAGACCCCAGATTTCAAACTGTTGACATATTCTTCCAGTGCTTCCAAATGCATGAGGCTTGTCAGAGAAACAACCTTAAGTTTTCCAGAAAGTAAAAAACAATACAGAAAATTATTTTACTTCACTTTAATATGTTTTGGAACGAGCCATTAAAGCCACCTACCCACTTTGAAGTCCTTCCTAGATAGCCCCTGAGCACACAGACCGTGGACTGAGATTGTGGATCTGCCAGCATTTTACTTGGTAGCAAAGAGGCTTGAGGAATGCTTTCCTCTGGCCTGCTGCTCCCTCACTGCCCTGCTCGAGTTCCTGAAATAATGCATCTGTCACGGTCCGTCCTTACGAACGGGTGTCGTGGTGGTTCGTAGGGGTGACCTCAGGGTGCAAAAGAACCGGCACGGTACAAGGGGGTTTGCAGTAATAATCAAAACAAATGCACCTTTATTGAATGACCACAGCAAAATGCGACAGAGGGATTAAGGGAGAGAAAAAGATAGAGAAAGAGAGAGAAGAGAGAGAGAGAGGGATATAGCTACCAACATAGAGATGAAGTCCTTTGGTCCAGTCCAGTCAAGGATCCTCCTGTTACACTGGGGAGATCCCAAAATCTCTAGCTAACTCAGAGGTTTTTATTATTGAAAATTGTGAGGTGGGGGGGAAACAGATACACTAGGGAATAGCTGTAACAGGTAGCCCATGTTCTCAGCAGTAAATGAGAGCCATTGTTTTCTTGGTCCAGTGGTCACAACCTGCAGGCAAACATCTCGGTTTAGCCAGCTTGCCTCCCCCACACATCTCCCCCGGGCTGGGGGTTTCAGTCCCTGTCCTTGGAAGGAGGAGAGGGGCCTTTTCACATGGGAGTTTCATGTCTCAGTCCTTGATGGAAAGGCTTCTTACATCTCAGTCTGTCTGTCACGGTGGTTGTAAAACAGGTGAGGGTCTGTGGGAGACCACCTGAACTCAGGAGAAGTCCAGCCAGGCCGAGAGGTGGGACCAAAGCTATTGTTGCAAAAAGGGCACGGTGCCCCTTCTTCTTCTCAGTGTAGCATACAGCAAAGACTCCTGTGAAAACAAGTAACTTAACCCTGTGCTTTCAGGTCTCAGGGCCTTTGGTGTGTGACTTTCTCCTTTAGAGCCAGAGATTCTAGACAGGGGGGGGTCTTCTCTTCAGTGGTCCCCAAATGACGATCGTGAGGCAGATGAGGGAAAATTCAGACAGACTCACACCATCCAAAACATACCCCATTACCATTATGTTCTTTATCAGCCACATGCCAATGTTTAACACTAA